ACATTTTAAATAAAAGTAATTATAGCCTTTACTCACCAATACGTTTGATTATTTGTACACCAAATATATATATATCTGTTGTACAGATTATCGGAGTTTTCAATTCCAATAATAAGTCCTGTTCTGTAACCATGGCGGCTAATGCGGTAGCTAACGCTACACACGCTAGTGTTTGCTGGCGCTGACAATCCAATCAAAGGACGGGAAAAAGCCAACGTCATCGTAAGCCAGCTAGATGGCCCCAGTGTATCCAACTCGAAATCTGATTGGTCAATGCAACTGTTTCATTGCTATTTGTTTTAAATTACAAGGCCAGCACAAAAGCTCTAACATTAAGAACCATTACAGGACGCAGTGCAACAGAGAGCAACACAGAGACAAAGCTATACAATGAAAGAGAATAGGCTATTGGAAATCATTTAATACATGTTAATGAAAAAACTATATTAAAAGTTGGGGGCAGTATTCACAAAATTCCAAGAAAACTCCAAACTTAGTCTTATACATTATAACAAGTAGTCCTAGGTAAAGGAGTGATTTCAAGTCAGGAGGGGACAGAAGCTGAGAATATGGGATCAGTTATTTAAAAGAAGTGATCATTCACAGGAAGGCTAGTGAAATGTAGAGGCCCTATCAATAATGAACTAATACTAATATTGTACTATATAATATTATATATAAGTGCTTCACTGAAATGAAAACTGAAAATGCAAAGAAAGTCCCATGCACCCAAGAAATAGAAAGTAACAATCTTAAATAGAACAATCATTACAAACCATTACAACATCCCTAATTAGTCTCTTTAAAGACAGGGTGTGTTTATGAATTCATTTTTTTATTTTGAACATCTCAGCGTTGTTAGAAATGATTAAAAGCACAGGCATAATGAGCAGTCTATTCACATGTTGATACTTATGTTAATATGTTTATTTATCATGCTGGTAATATTACTACTTAATTGATTTCGTTAGGTTGCTGTCATTCTGCTTCTGTAAAATATTCCTCCTACCTCTCTGTCTTACCACCATTTTCTCCTCAGTTGAAAAAAAACCCTTTAAAATCGCTCTTCTTTGTAAATATCCTAGATTTATTATTATCAGAATCTAGTTTTAACTGTCAGGAAAAAAAGTCTTAGAAATCATCTCAGATTTGCCTTAAAACATGGTTTCAAACCACACAAACAAACACACACACACACACACACACACACACACACACACACACACACACACACACACACACACACACACACACACACAGTTGCCGTATAACAGGATTAGTGCACTGCTAAATAGGAGAGAAAAAACCCTGAGACACAAACACACACTGAACCACACACAGGCAGAAAGATCCATTAGCAACAGACACACACATCTCTCACACACACACTGCACTCGTCTGCATGCATGTTAGTGCATTCTCTCTCTCTCTCTCTCTCTCTCTCTCTCTCACTCTGCATTACTCTTTGCAGGCAGTGACATTAGATTCCAAGTACTTTTTTAAACTTGCATGTACAGTTGGACAATCAATGAAAACATTAGAAAATCACATCATATTGTGTCTCATTGTTGTCATCCAAAAGATGTCTTGTATTTCGTTCTGTAAGAATGAGTGTTCAATATCAAAATCTATAATCTCTGAATAACTGAAGTGAATAAAGTGATATCATTAATACGAAGAAGCCACAGTCTTATAGAAGGTTTGCCATTGTTAAAACAAATAAAACAATTATTGGATACTGTTTGATAAAAATAATATAACAAATCTGTTTATTTATATAGAACCTTTAAACAGTATTAACAATTAATGAAGAGTACTTCATAGTAAAAAAAACAACAACATTAATAATAATAAAGGTAATAATAATAATAATAATATTAAAGACAATAATAATAAATACACAGTGAAGTAGAATACAAAACTTAAATCGAAATAAATTAGAAATACATTATTATTAAATCACATTGTTGTAATATTCTAAAAAAGATGATGGTTTTATTTGAACAAACTACCTGGATACATCAACAATGTATCAGAGAACACAATGACAAACTGTTTTCCATGAGACGTGTGATTTATTTAAATTGGTTGTTTTAAAAATGACATGTTTTAAAAATGTAATTGAGCATGCATGCTATGTTGGGACTCCTCTAGATACTGTAGAGCTGTAAATAATATAGAAACTACTGCTTAATAATGGTTATCTGTTTAGTTGTGTCATTCATTTGTCATCATCCCTACTGCTTTAATTAACATAAACCATCTTTAGTCTTCAACAATTAGCGACATACAGTAGTCCTCCCTCTGCCCCGCCTCAACAGTGATAAACAGAGCGAGTGTTCCTGCACTCAGGATGTCATTTACTGCTCCGTTAGAAAATCAGGGACCATCACCTGAACTTAATCAACATTTTGCCAGGCTTTAAATGGAAAACATTTCACAGATTGTTCCGGTATAACCCCTTTTAATTAAGAATGTAACGTCTTATCAAGCGCCAAGGTTGACAAATCAATGAAAATGTGTTTGTAATATATAAGTTTTGAAACTTCTCAGAAAGCAGCCACATTTACATACCACTTCCAGATAAATGAGGGGGAGCAATGTGTCACGTCTAATCCCAAATTAGGATCTTAATTTTGTGTGCATGTTGAACAGTCTACACAGGGAGGCTTTGCTCTCATATTGGAAGAAAAAAAAAAGGTAGAAGAAAGAGGCATTGTGTTTAGTTCACGCTTAAACTGCTTCTAAAAGGATACATCGTTTTTTTTCCCTTTCGTTTCACCTTGCAAAGCAATTTGTAGTTCTACTTACCCTCAAACTTCCTTCTGAATATAGTAGAAGTGCTTTAAAGACAACACATTCGATGCTGTTCAGGAAAGTGAGGAACTCCATGAACCGAAAATCAAATGAAACCCAAAAAACAGTAGCACTACAAAAGCAATGATACAATTAAAAAGTCATGCAGACTAAGACTGTTTCTTAACCCTTTCATGCATGAATTATGAAAGCCTCACTCAGGATTTTTTTACCAAGTGTTTTTATTGCTCTTGGGGCATGAAAAACAAGATTTGAACTTTAAAAGTTCAAATCTTGTTTTTCATGCCCCAAGAGCAATAAAAACACTTGGTAAAAAAATCCTGAGTGAGGCTTTCATAATTCATGCATGAAAGGGTTAAGNTGAGGAGTTTTACTGGAATGAAAGAGCACAGAGTCTACAGAAGCAAAAAAGCAGCATACTGCATTAAACCTGACCTTCACAGAGAGGTTGAAGTTCATGTGGAAAGGAGGCTTCAGTAGTCTGTCTGCACTCTGTTTAGTTTTGCTATCTTACAATCAATACAGTAAATGTGAGGTAAAGTGTGTTGCCAATGTAACCTTTTAGAACTCTAAGTTGCGATGAGGTCTTAAAATGTATGAAAGGGTACTTAAAAAAGGTCTTAAAAGGTATTAAATTTGACTTCAGGATTCCTGCATATACCCTGAGATGGATCTTCTGCACTTCAAGGCATCTGTAGCTCGTGCGCTCATAAATGCAGGATCCATCAAGATACGCGGAAGAGGAAGACCCAGTCCCACCCCAACTCGGAAGCGCAGAGCAGTGTCCAAGGCACCCCCTGAGATCAGGTTTGGCTCTGGAAACCACTGGCCTCAGCTCACTGAAGCCAAAAATGCAAACAGATGCCAGGATGCTGCATGCACACGAAGAACCAAGTACACCTGCATGCAGTGTCGTGTGGCTTTGTGCCCTGGGTGCTTTGCCAATTACCATGGTAGATAGAAAAGTGAAATAGAGTATTCCTAAATGGTGTTTTGGATATGTATGCAGATTTTCTTTATATTTACATATATCATTTTAAGTTTGCACATCTTTTTTTTTACCATTTTATCCATATTTTTGTTAAATACACATTTCTTCAGTTTAAACCTAAACGCATACTGTCCACCTGAGTTGACATATAAATATATCTTTGAAAAAACTGTATAAAAAAAAATAAAGTTCAAATCTTGTTTTTCATGCCCCAAGAGCAATAACAAACACTTGGTAAAAAAATACCTGAGTGAGGCTTTCATAATTCATGCATGAAAGGGTATGCACTGCTCAATAGTGGGCCTAATAAGGCAGTAGTACCACA